GTAGAGGTCTGGAGTGACCGATCAAAGAAAGCGGCCAACAAAGCAGCACGGTTCTAGACATCCCCAAGGCCTAGAGTCTCGCTCCCAAGATGAATTTTTGCATTTCCCATACCACAGCAGCTATTCTGAGCAAAGCACAGCATTCGAAACTCTCCCAGAAATGTGTTTCAGAGATCCTTTGTGTTTTGTGTGAGCAGTGAAGGAATCTTTTGAAAAATGTTAGGTTTAAAATCCTAAGTCATGTTAAGAAATGCTTGATACCTTAACAACTACATTGATCTTCAAGGAATCAGGAATCCTTTCTTCTCCAGGCTTGGTGTTTTATATGAAAGTCTCTTTCAGCGTGATGGGTTTCACGCAAAAACTGTCTGCTCATCTAGAAGATGATCGGGATCAGATTCGTCCTGCAAAATACACAGATGAATCTGTGTAATCATAAAACCTAGAGGAAACTTAACTTCACCTTTTACTGAGTCTGCCTTTTGGAAATTGACGCTTTAAACCTGACTTAAATGCAGTTTGATCCAGGGCTTCATTTAAAGTGAGCTGGTTTTGACTATTTTGTATAAGATCTCAGTTATTGCTGAGTCTGCCTCATCTGTTTGCTGTCCAAATTCCTTTTCCCATTTGTCATTACTGTGAAGACATTTTGAGTTCATTAGATAAGACTGAAGAATAAATTTGTAGAAATCTCGATTTGTAGCCGTTAGGCTTTTTGGGTTATTGAAGAGAATGATAGCACGTGGTTTCTAATTGCTTGGAGCCTGCTGGTGTAAGTAATGCTGCAAACACCAGCACATCTGATTGATGGTATTTATTTTGGTCAACTTTTGTCAGCTCATTATGGCAAAGTTCCAGTTATCTTCAGGGGTGCCATAATCAGCCTTTGGGCTGTGTTCTCTGCTATATTTTGGGGAAGAGCGCTGAGAGACCACGTGTGCTGGTGCGGCTGGTAGGAGATGGCAGCTTGACAAGAGAAACCTTGTCCGGGTTCCAGCTGATCTGCAGCTTTGCGGCAGCTCTGGCAGCGGGGTATTAGCGGTAGTTGATAATTAGCGTCCAGATGCTTTGGTGCATTCCTTGGGGCTCGGCACATGCTCCCCGTGCTGCGCGCTGCCCTCGTACCGCACGACTGCAAGCACCCTGGCTGGGACTTGGTCCAGAGGTAAATGACTGTACGGAGCTGGACGTTGTGGCTGTTTGGGGTGGAGGCTGGGTTTGGTCGGTTCCAGAAAACGTTAAAACTAGAGGAGAGCCTTTGATCTGTCTCTCGTGGAGCTTTCTGGAGAGATAGATGGAAGCAAGTGGTGCCTTTGTCCAGCAGTGTAAAGCGTTTCCCACCGTACCAGTGAGCACATCTCACTGAGCAAACAATCATAGAATTGTCAGGGTTGGAAGGGGCCTTAAAGATCATCTAGTTCTTGGTTCATGGACTCTTCATTTGGCTTTTGACCTGACCCTGGGAAATTTGGAAGAAGGGAACTCTGATAGTCTCTTCAGATTAGTGCCTTGCTGTAATTCCTTGAGGCAACTGTTCAGCTGAACCTGATGCTTTGCAGCCCTCGTGCCCAGCAAGGTGCATGCAAACGAGCTGTTGGAAACTCATTTATTTTGTGAAGAGGTTATACTCCAAAGGGTATCATTCTGATATAACCATAAGCATTTCTCTTCCCTCTTTTGGTACCTTAGTGGATAGAAATAGAGGTTTTGGAAGAGGGAGAAGAGCAGAGTAACTTTGACTTCTATTTCTGTGTTTTGTATAACGTTAAAGCAAAAGTGGATGGGTAGATGCTGGACTTAAGGATGTGTGAAGGTTTATAGGTTTCATGTATATTGGTAAAAAGTTAGCTTTCTTTTTAAGAGCTTGATTTAAAACAGGCCAGGGCTGTAGCCATGGAAGGTAATTGTGTTGCTCTGTAATTTTGCACAATTTAACTTTAAATTTCCTGTTCCACGCAGGCTGTTGCAATTATGAAAATAGCTTGTGATGTGAATGTATGACATTGTTTCTAAGTACATACAAGAGCTATAATAAAGCTTGGTTAGCATAGAGGTGCTTTTTCAGGGTTCCTTTATAAATAAATCCACCTGTATGGAATTGTCTCAGGCTGCCTGTCCTGATGACCATGTCTGTTCAGGTCTCTTGTATTCTGTGTAGTGTCAGAGTCCTTTTAGCCATGGTTCTGTACCCAGCTCCTTGATGCCCGACAGCAATATGGTTGAGCTAATGGTAGGGTTTCTGCTGAAACTTCACAAGCTTGCTGGCTGAGAGCAAATAACAGCCTTGCTTTGCAGAAATAACTGGAGCCCACAAAGAGCAGCAGCATCCTTGATCCATGAGGGCTGATCCATGAGCTTTTTTTCCACAGCTGGACTGTGTGAGCTGACATCTGCAGTTCCCACTGGGTTGGGTTAGTCTGGCCGTTTGGGACAAGCCATTGTAAAAGGCAGTTTCTAAAAAGGGAGTCCAAGTGTCTACGGCATGATAAAAACCTCTCAAACATAAAAACCATGTTCACTTACTGACTTTTCCTTTCCCTTCACCGGGGAACGGAGAGGTGTGATGAAAAGTCTATGAAAGCAGAGAATTCTCTGAACAAAAATGTGCTATTCTTTATGAAAACGTGGGAAACTTGTAAACTGACAAAAAACTGTCATGCAAGAGTATGATTTAAAATACAGAATTTATTGCTGTAGGATTGTATTGAAACCAAAAATGCCTCAGCTATGATAAATGAGGGAGATGCTTTACATGGATAACTGAAGGTTAGTAGCTCTTCCAAATTTACGTTAAGCATTCTGCCTCATGGCTTAAGGCAATTCCCAGCTCTGGGGAGATTTATGGGGTTTCTTGCACCTTTCTCTGAAGCATCGGGCATTAGCCTCTGCAGAAGACAGGATGTTGTATTAAAAAAGAGGAAAAAAAAAGCCCAGTCTCATCCATCATGCTAGTCTCTGTGTTCAAATACTCCCTGTCAATAGCGGCTTCTGCAAAATGTTCTCTTTCTCCTTGCAGTTGTTAGAGAACCCTGAGGCCTAGCATCAAGTTTTGAGAGCAACTTACCATTATTCTCAAGAATTTCTGCCTTCATGGTATTACTGAGTCCCTCGACTGAATCGTGCTTGGACTCTGCTGTCTGGCTGCTGGATGTGGCTTTGAGCATTTTGAGCTTTGGCGTGCCCTGCGTCAGCCGCCCACTGCTGGGAAAATGATGCCGCTTCACTGGGCAAATGGGTGCCTGGAGTCCCTGTCTCTGTGTCAGACATTTGTAATCAATGCAGGTCTAAAAAAAGGTGGATCTTAATTCTTTACAGGAAAAGAAGGTGGTGTGTTGGTGAAGCTTGCATGGTTTTTGTTATCCCTTTAACATTTATGGAGATCTTAGGTATTAGGCTTTTAAGCTGCTTTGTTGAAACTCATTTGACAAGGACTTGCACAGATGGTGCTTTACTTTCTGTCTGAAATGTGACGCTTTTTCATTTCCCTTGGGTCAACTCAGTGAATCTGGCTAGAAATTCTTCAATGGATATTTATTTCCCATATCTCTGACTTGCTTCTTTGAAATAAAATTTAGTCTGATAGGAGCAACACGTTGGGTGTCTTTAACTGTGGGCAGAGCTACCGCATTCAATCATCTCTTTCAGCCCTGGAATATTCAATAATTGCTGTACTATTAATTCTTGTGGTCTAAGTAATAAAATACTGAAATCTGCTTCTTCTCAAAGCAGATTTTTTTTTTTTCCACGCTGAGTATGTTCCTGAAGAGCTAGCAAAAGGTGATTAGTTGAAAAAGAAATGCGTGACTGGACAAGGACTTCTTATGAGATGCTGATCTGTCCTTAACCTGTCTTAATGCCTGATATTAATGGTGGCTAGGCAAACCTGCTGCAGGGACGCTGGCATCCCAAAAGATGCTGTGGCACCTGAAAGCTCCGAATGTGTCTTGGGTTGGATTGTGCTGCACACGCACGCAGCGGTTAAAAGATAGCATTCTGTAATCTCATTGAATCTGGTCCATCTGCCAGGCAGTGTGTTACAAATACATACCTACTTAAAATGTTGAATTTTTGCTTTAATAATACCTATTAGTGAAAGCCACTGGTGGGTTGCTTGAACACAGCAGCTGGGGGGGTGCTGTGATCTGCTCGCTCGTGCTGGAGAACGCTGCTGCTGGGAGCATCATCTGGTGGGGTTTTGATCAGAATGAACCCTCCAGAAAGAAGCAGGAGGAGGTAAAAAAAAAGGAGCGTGGCAGCTCTAAACAGAAGGCACGCCGTGCTGAGGAGGTTAGATCTCTGTGAGCTGCCTCTAAGTCCCTTTGCTGGCGCGCTGCTGGAGGTGACGTCTGCGGGAGCAGGCAGCGGAGCCGGATGGGTGAGCGTCTGCTGACCTACTTCAGCCGCAGTGACCCACGTGAGCTTAACCTGGTTACGGAGCAGCCCTGCTAACCTCACCCGCTTCCCCTCGCAGTGAGTTACCAGGTTTGAGGGGGCGGTAATCTCCGGCGATGAGCCGCTGAGGGGAGTGATGTGTTTCTTGGGTAAGTGCGCTCCCAGCCTGAGGAGCAGAACCGTCTGCGAATACGAAATCTCTTTCCAAGGCGTATTGGGTTTTTGCAGAAGTGAATCCGATCCGACTATAGAGAATGTGTCTGGTCCTCTTGCGGTCATCTTGTTGAAAACTAAAGTCTTGTTTTAACAGCAGACTCGAGTCAATACATCGTCTTTGCCCCTCACAAGGGTTTGTTTGAGGTTGTACGTAGGTATTATCCTGTGCGCTGCACAGCACTTTGGGTGCTGCGTGTTACTTTCAAGAGCCCCGGGTTGGACGCTTGATAGCATTTAAAGGTCTGATCCCAGAACAGGAGAGTGTAGGAAGAGGTGATGTTGTTTTGCGTCGTAGAAATACGAGGGTAAATATTTTCAACTGTTTTAAAGGGATGTTACTCATGCAAAATTCTGGGTTTACTGATTTTGTTTTGTGACTGTCCTAGGCTTTCGGGCAGGCCCACACCAACCACAAGAAGGTAGCGGCAGATGGAGAGAGCAGAGAGGAGACCTTGATTCAGGAATCAGCTACCAAGGAGGAGTACTACATGAAGAAGGTTATGGAGTTGCAGACAGAACTGAAGCAGCTCAGAAACGTCCTTGCCAACACTCAGTCTGAAAATGAACGCCTTAATTCTGTTGCACAGGAACTGAGAGAGGTGAGTGAAGGTGCACTGTGTGTGCCACAGCCTGTGGCGTGGTTATGCTTTCTTGTGCCGTGTGGCCAAAATAAGGAGGATTCTTGAGCTGATTGATATCTGCTTAATACCGGTAGCTGCTAAGATGAGTTGTTATTTGAAAGGCAAAAGAATTGGTTTAGTCCAAGCATCGAGATGCTTTGGACATGCTTTTTCTGCATCACACCCACTATGTATTTTCTGGCCACAAAATATTTGCAGCATTATTTCCCCTTCTATCAATTTTTCCACCCTAACTTCTAAGGAGATGGGAGTGTAACAAAACCCTGAAATGCACAGAAGGAGTAATAGTAAAGTTTGTAGTCTTGAGTTTTCTCTCATGAAAGTGATGACTTTTACTTTTTCATAGATTGATTAACTTACTACCTCGAAGTGTCTTTGACCTTTTGTTGGTTTAGTATTGCAACTGCCTACTTCTGAGGGGAAGTAATCACCGAGAAACTGACTTAAAAAGTTTAGTTACCGAAGAAATCTATAGGTCAGCAGGAGTCTCTGTGGGACTGATGGAGAAAAGATTGTTTTGAGGGCTGAAACCTCTGAGTAAAAGTTGCAGAGACTGTAAATCACAGATGGATGTGGTAAAGAAACAACGATTATTATTCATGAGCTTTCTTGCACCTTTCTTTGAAGCGCTGGGTCCTAGTCCTGTTTAGCCTTGTGATAGCTGACTGGCCTTCCCTGCCGAGAGGGAGTACGTCTTAATCTCGACATATTCTACATGGCCACAGCCGAAAACAGAAACGTCTCATTTGATTTCTTTAGGACGTAGTAGCAAATACGTAGATAATATTTGCTGGTGGAGTACTTATGTGGAGATGTGAGGGTTCAGTAATACCACTCTTGGGGATATAACAGAGAAGGAGATTTGTGGGCCAACCTGTCACAGGCAATGAAACAGGTCAGTCAAGCTCTCCTTTAATTTCATGGGTCCTGGCTGGGGGGTAACAGAGCCGGAATCAGGCTGGAACCAGTCCCTGCAAGCACACACGCAACTCTTGCCTTTATTTCCTAACCTTGAAGAGCAGCCTAAAAGAAGAAATCTGCCTGGCCTAGAGGCAGCGTTTGTGTGTGTAGCATGTCCCAAAGGCCACTCAAAAGCATGTTCGTCGGTGGATTTCAATCCAGCGCCCTGCATCTCTGTAACTGCTCCCTCTGGATGCTGCCACCTTTCAGCCACCTTTGCCTGGGGCTGTGTTCTGCTTCATACGACCCTCGGATAAGCTCTTAGTTTGCAAAGTTTTAGGGTGGGTTTGTTCTTGCGCTTCATCCTTCCACCTCACCCACGCACCCTTTTGTACGAACATGCTTGAGTGAGGTGGACCCTGGTGAGAGCTGAAGAGTGCAGGAAGGGGGAAAGTGTGTTATGTCAGGTGTCTTGTGAAGATTTTAGGGTTTTTTTTTTAAAGAAATTATTCTAGTTTTATATATATATATTTATATATATATGCACAAGGTTTCTTCTGCTGCATGTGGGAAGGTGCATTTAATTACTCAACTAGAAATAAAGGCTGATGATAATTAACCAGATATGACTGATTTTAGGAACTGAACTCAGTGAGAGAAAAATGCAAATCAAGCCCTAATGTGATAAATAACTGCAACCTTACACTTAGGAGTTTCTTGTATCATCTCAGGGCCGTGTTCTTCCCTTGCCTTTTTTATAGCCTAGCTCTTTCCTCTGCTACTGGTAAACTGTGGTGGTGTGAAGAGGTAAGGAGGAGGAAAAGAAATGGTGTGAAAGACTTAGCATTCAACTGAAAGCAGCTGGGCCACTTGACCATCTGTGGTTTGGGTTTCTCTTCCTGTCAAGATGCCCAGTTGTTTATTGCATTTGGGTTTTGCGTTTTGGTCTGAATTTTCTTAGAACTAGTGGTAGGAAACGGTGACGCAAGGTGTGTGAACAGAGCTGCCGACCTCCTTCTGGCGCACAAAAAAGCTGAGTCAACATGATTGGCAAGATGAGCAGCGTGGTTTTCCCCCGTCCTTGTTGCCGTGCTTGGCTTTAGGCTGTCTCAGGGTCCAAGTTTTACGCTGATGTTAATCCAGGGAGAGACTCCATGCTCTGAAGAACGCTGCTGGAGTCTGAAAGTGTTGGGCCTGAAGGTGGAGTGTGATCTCCTGTTTCATACTGCAGAGACGTGGTGTAAATTCCTTCCTTCATTTTTTCTGACTGCCGATGAAAGAAAAACTACCGTGGCTCTTCTCTGTCTCGTAGGGAATGTTTGTGGCAGATTTAGTCTTTCTAGTGTGTATTTTGGAAATCCTGTATTGTTGCCTATTGAGAGGACTGACTGCAAGAGCAGGAAACTTCACTTCCATTGTAACCGTTCTGGATTTGATCCAAGTAGGAGGAGGGATGTGGAAAATGCTTGACTCTGTCCAGGCAGAGCTCTTCAGCTGTCGAAACTAAAAGGAAGTTTAAAAAAAATAAAGAAAAAAGAAAAAGTCAGGAAATCAACGAAGGCCAAATCTCTGCTTTGTTGTTAAGGGAGGTTTGCTTGTGAGGGCAGGCTGCAGAAGTTTTTTATGTGCTGTTTTGCAGCTACCTGGTACCATACAGAGTTTTAGTGTTGCTTTTTTGAAAAAGACTGTTCAGCCTGTAGTAGGGGCACAGGGAGGGTGGTCGAGCCCATCGGCCAGCAGCTCCTGCTGAGGTGCTGGGGGCGTGTTGGAACAAGTTGTTGACCTGAAGCACTTGGGTGTGCGTTTGAAACCCAGTGTTTAAGATGCCGTCGTTCCTTTTGTGTCTTCTCAGGACACTTGCACAGAAGCAACAAGTTGTTTTCAGAAGGAGATGAGTGACATTCAGCACCCCTGGAGCTGCTGTAGCAGATGCAAGTGGTTTTGACGCTCTCCGTTCAATTATCTAACTCTGGCCTGTTGAGACAGGCCACGGGGTGTTACCAGTTCTGAATTCTGCTGCAGTCATTTGCTAGCTCAGCAGCTCCTGTGTCCTGGAAGAGTCACTGGAAGGAGTAATTGCTCCTGAGTAATTGCTAATTGCTATTCCTTTTTAATCTTCTTTAATCTCTCCTGTGTTTTAGTGGCACCAAAACAGATTTCACAGGGTTATTTGGCTGTGAAGTCATGAGGCAGCCGTGCCCGGTAGAAGCTGAAAAATAAATGAGCGATTCTTTCCCAGGAAAGTAAATAGTGTTCTGGTTATGTAAACTAAAGAGGAAAATATATTTTAATGTGTGTGCTTCTATACGCTAAGCTGACATGGCCATGGTACGTTATAATAGTGTGTGTCAGGCATAACGAACACCACGCAGGGACCTGGCCCTGCTGTGCATGAAGGACACTCTCCCACTTTTTTTTCCTGTTAGTAATGGTGGGATTTTCAGGTTTGTGTTAAACACTGGCACACGATTATTTATCCTGGGTTGTGTTTGTTTTTAGACCTCTGTAAACATCTTGGGTTTCTCCTTTCTTCTTACTCTCCCGTCTCACATTGGAGGAATTGATCATGAGTTTGTTCTTCCAGAATCAAAAATGACTCTAACCGCCTTCTTGCTCTAGTCATATCCTGTAAATAAGTTCATGGCATGTGGAACTCACTTGTGCTCTCAGAGTAAACCTAAAAACCTAACCAACCAGCCCCGACACCTTTATTCTGCAGTGAAGACTCACAACTTGATCTCTGGTCGTTGGTAGCTGGATGCTTCGCTGAGGGGCACACGAAGATCATTGCCTGATTACGTTCTCTGATGACAGCAGATCCAGGTGGAAGCTGATCTTCAGGCCCTGAGAATGTAAGATGCACTGTGTTATCTACCGATCAGGCCACTTTGACCATGACATGTGCAGTGATGCAGTTGCTTGCATCTGTCTCTCCACATGCTTGCCCCTAGTGCTGGTGCTTGTATCAGTTTATTTGGCCTTGCGGTTAAAATGTGTGAAGAGAGGTGGGAGAGACATTGCTGGGAATCCCAGGACGTAGTCTGTTCAAAATATTTGACTTCTATTTTTTGGAGCCAGTGTTTTCACCATGATAGGCCAATAAGTTCTTTGTTAGTCATGACCCTGTCTGCTCAGAGCAATGACGGCCGATGGGTCCTTTATAAATACTCAGTAACTGATTGCTGGAGCTCTCCGGGTTTCCGTAACATCACTGGCGAAGGACAAGTATTCCTAAAGTTATGATTACACTTTCCTTTCCCACCAGGATTTATAGCTAAGATGCTGAATCGTCCTTTGTGTTGTTTTCTCTTTCTCCCCTTGGCCACACCAGTAACAGGAAGATGCACAACCGACCTCCCCTGCGGCTGAGGAAGGAAAGCCTCCGTGTTGTACGTTCCCTAAATGCTGCATCAGGAGCCGTGCTTAAAGAAGGCATGGGTTTTGTTATAGAAGGGAATGAGCGGAAACAACATCTTATTGTGCTCTAAATTACCCATGGTGCACTGCTGGGATGTGGCCAGAAGTGTGTTCAAGCAGTTTATTACAAAGTATTCTAGATTTTGAAGTCCTGTGGTGCGTGTAATCTGTCGTGTATTTCTGTATTTTATCAAGAGGGCTCACTCTTCGTTTTCTTTAGCTAAGTGGAGGAAGGAGGGATACATTCTTGGTGCAATGAAATCACATGGAATTCTCCATGCTATTGCTGTAATACTTGTGGACATATTGCAAATGTCAAAAAAACCTGAGGCAATGTTAATCACGTAGCAAAAAATATGCTTGTGGAGACCCTCTGTACACGCTTGCATAGTATAAACTAAATGACCTCCCCCAGTGTCCAGTCTGTGCTGCTGCATATGTAAGTGAACAGCTTAGGGAAGGGTGAGTGTGGAAAGATTTGTCTTTCCTAATAAGAATCTTGGAGAAGAAGGGAAGAAAAAGTTACTTGATCTTTGCTACGAGGACAGGCTGCGAGAGCTGGGAGTGTTCAGTCTGGAAAAGAGAAGACTTGGGGGGGACCTAATAGCTGCCTTCCAATACCTGAAGGGAACCTACAGGAA